TGGGCTGATTTAAAGATCTCTACGGAGGAGGCTGAGCTGATATTTAAACTGACCTTGGACTTTCAATTGCCAAGCTCCTCCTTGCAATTAGTTTGATGGAAAGAAGAAAAGAAGCTTTTGTAGAAGAAGTTACAGAATTCCTCCCAAAGCTTTTCAATCAATCAACTGACTGATCATTTAATCAATGAACCAACTATTCAGTGGCCCAGTGAATCAGTTCCCTACAGTTAAGGGAAAAAAATAACTCCCCAGTTCATAAAACTGCAACAGCACAAACTCAGCCTTCCAGGCATGCCACCAACATGATAAAATAATCTCCCACAGAAAATGATTGTATCCCACAGTGTTTAATCACTTGTTGATAGAAAGGTTTTCCAAGTTAAAATCTGATGCTCATTCAGGTGGATTACTGAAGCTAAAGGAGACAGGAAGGAGCTTCTGTATTGCATCTTAAAAGGCTCAGCATCAGAACTAAAAATACATGCAATAGAAACAAGCAACAGATTGAATTAAAACCTGCTGTAGTAGGTAGAGAGCCAAACTAATTAGAAGAGAGGGATAAATAAGAGTAATGCTTTTTTTCCCAAAATGAGATTTGAAAGAGTCCAAGTGTCTCAAGAACATGAGCTTTGAAATCCAGGTGTGGTAGGCCAGCGTTTTAGAATGACTTGATCATGAAATTACACAGAACATTGAGTCTTTTCATTTACCCTTTTTGAAACTACCCTGTGAGAATGATATTGGAGCGTAAAATAAGCAGAAATGTCATTGGGAGTGTTAAAACTACTGTAAATCTTAAGCAGGACTTATTTGGATATATCCGTCAGTTTTTATACTCAGTTCCTTGCTGCAAAAACTCCAGGGCAGTTTCACTCTGATGGTGGCCTCTTTTGAGCTTGTTCCACGATATTTCTTTAAAGTTAATGAAATTGTAAATAGTTTCACTGGTCATAATCAGAATCATCCTGGTGCTTTTTCAGCAGGGAACTGAAAATACAGTATGGTACCTTACCAAATGAAACATGGGTATTCTCTCCATTCTTGTAATTTTCTGTCAGGTCAGTGTCTGAGCTGACATTTACCTCAGGCCTCTCTTTTGCAAAACAGATCAATAGTTCTGCTGGCACTGATTCAAGGTGACATTGTTACTAAAATGGACTGGGAAGCCGTTAAATTTAGGTCAGGACTTCGATGTTCCAGGGCTTGTGTTTGTATAGCTCAGCAGGATAGCCTGTCACCCAAGAGCTGAGCAGTTCACCAGGTGATAGTAAAAGTCACTGCAGGCAGCATGCACAAGGTTCAGAGCGCCTTTGATATTAATTTTTGATTCACGCTTTGCTTAAGCCGTATCAGCACCTTTTAATCATTTTTCAAGTGTTTACTTTGTTGTTTTTGTTCCCTTATTTCACGCATATGTGTTATCATTGCAAAGAATAAACAAAGTCGCCATCTACAGACAGGAAGCTTTTATTATGAGGCTTGCAATTATATTTTGGAGTTAACATGTGCCATTTCTTCCCTCTATAAGCTGTAAAAAGAAAGTGGGAACAAACAAATGGAACACTTCTTCCCCCAAAGGGTTGTAAGAGCATGGAATACACTACAGAGCTGTGCTGCTGAAGCCGATGCTTCAGTTTCTGTCAGGAAAAGACCTGACAAGATCCTCGGATTAATTCACTACTAACTACCAAACCGGCTAGATGGTGCAAATGGATTCCTTTCATTTGTAACGTTTCTTATGTTCTTATCCCTTTCCTAACCACTTTATCCCATTCTGGGTCACGGTGGTCTTGAGCCTGTCCCAGCAAGCAATGGACATTAACCAGGCTACACCCTGAGTGGGACTCTAGTCCTCTGCCTAGCAGACACACAGACACACACTCACACAATGCCAGTTTTCCCAGAAGCCAGTGAACATACCAGCCTGCCTGTGCAGTGTGGGAGGAAACCAGAGAACCCCACGTGAAGCAGAGAAACTCGTGTGAACACGTGGAGAACATGCAATCTCCACGCAGACAGGATTGGGAACGAGTAATAGGTTTATTCCATGCTGAAAAGAGAAGAAAGAAAACTGCCAAAAAGTTTTGTTTTCTTTCTTCTTTTCCATCATGGAATAAACCTATTACTTGTTCCTTTGCAGCTACCCACCTGAACTATAGAAAGGAACAGTTACTAATACTAATAATACCCTAACCACTGCTCCACATTTTTGCCTACTGCAAACGGACAAATTTATCTGTGTCTGTATAGTGCAATTTAAAATGAGTATTGTCTGAGAGATTCGTTTTCTCTGTATATTTCATCTACCACAGTCTTTAATAAAAAGAAAAATCCTGGTTTAACACCAATCTCAACAATCATGTCTGTTGTGTTATTACACTGTTCCTGTATCTAGAAAACAATTAAAGTAAGCGCCTTGAATTTTGACTTAGAAATGTAGAGGAAGTTAACAGACTATTTTGATTTTTACAGAAATAGCCATTCCATGGTTTCTTGAAATCAGAGTGTAAAAGGATACAGATCCTGATTGTGTACTTAGCTTCTTCTTTTCACTTTAAAATGAAGGTTTGACACTATTCAGCTGTGTTTTTGAAGTGGGTAGACATGGTGCAGTGCATTGAAGCCATTGTTAGTTTTAGCTGTTTCTAATGCTCCTTACCTTGCACAGGGCTCCAAGTCAACATTGCAAGAAATGACTGGGGCACACATTGGATTCATAGGCCAAAATGGAAAACTCCCATGCAGTCACCTTACCATCACTGCAACATGACTAGACATTCTGGAACAAAAGCAGCTGTATATTGTTGTGTGAAAACGGTAACCAAAACAAATATATGAAGCAGATAGATTTTAGAAAAACAGCAGAGCTCTGCTGTAGAATGCAATGCGAAAAGGTGTATTTTTCTTGGTAAGGAGTGCTTGTGTATCATGGCCTTCAGTCATCTGTTAAGAGGAGTCTTTTTGTTATCCTCCCTGTGACTGTAAACAAGTCTGTTTTGGAGACGGTATCGTTAATATCTGTCACTGCAGCCCTGCATGTCTCTCAGCATCAGACTGTGTCCTTCATGCCCTAAATGATAAGAACTACGTGGACCACAAGGAAAAGACGTCTTCAGCCTAAATGTAGTACAGACCTTAGGTTGGAACTACTTAATAGTAGTTTACCCATTTGTTGCTCTGAGTTGTCTTTTTTACAATGCTGTGCTCTTATAATGTTTATCAAAATGTTTATAAAACCTCCTTCTGTGCTAAAATTTGAGTATCCTTGATGCAGCACCCTATCTTCACTAGCTACACAGTCAGTTACATTTTTAACTAACTCTATGGTTTAACCTTTAAACTTACTGGGCCCAGTGGTGCCAGTTTTGAATGTGTTAAATATATATAACATGCTAAACGTAAACAGTACTGTATAATACAACATGCTATATAAAACAGCAGGACATGCCAGGGTGAATGGTAAAGATGATTTTAAAATATCATTTGCTCATTTCTAACATCCATTAATTATTATTCAGCCACCACTGCCGGTGATTCTGTTGCACAGTGCGAGTTCAGTGTCGTGATGGCTTGATCTTCGGATGTCATGCTGAAATAGGGTGGTGTTCTAGGTTTCTCCTCCAGTCCTGGGGTATAGATAGTTTCACAGGGAACAAAAAGGTGGACACTCTATCTTTACCCATTCCCCACATTGCACCCTATAGGTATTTGTGTCTTTATTTAAGAAAGAAATGAAATTGTGCGCTAGCATTCAATTTTCCTAAATGAATTCAAATGGAAAGAAATTTTGGCAAACTGAAACTGCTTTTACTGAAAGACATCGAAAGCTAAACACGAAATGCTGGCTGCATGGGTGCACCAGAGTTTGTTTGTAAAGGTCACCTTATTTTTTGGCTCCTTTTTTAGAAGACATGGCCAGATAACGACCTGCTGATTTTCAAAATGGTCTGATCTGAAACCGAAAGCCGGTTATACCCAGATGGGTTGAGGCAGCAACAAGTAAATGCTAGCCCTGTGGCGACATCACTCGCTCTTCATATAATGCGCTTGCTGATGTCTAGGAGGCAGTGCAGTCTTTGGGCTCTGACCTGAGGCTCACTGAGAGACGCCCACTGCTCATTTGAAAGGCAAAACAGTTGCTCTCAAGAGACACTGCTTTCTCTCTCAATCAGGCTGCTCTGGATAGCCGCACTCCCATTTCTTTTGTTGTTCAAAAGGACTCGTGTCTGTCTGGCCCAATGCAGTCGTGCAATTAAAAAGACCTCTGTTCCCACTTGTTTCGCATTTGCATGTATCTGATGCATGTTCTGTATCTGTACCTTTTTCCCAGGGGCTGGTTAATTTGTTGGTTCTAAGAGCTCCGATCCAGGCAGTACTTACTTATCCTGTGTTTTCAGGAATATGCTGCTTCCCTTTTCATCTTCTGTTGTGTCCTCGTTTGTCCAGCACAGAGTTGGACAGAATTTTACACTTTGTGACAGTTTAAAATAGTGTAGTTTCATTCAACCGACATGGGGTCAAATAGATATAGTCTTAATTTTGTTTTGTCTTTGTTTTTCCTTGTACATCTCTGGCATATCCTGAAAAGCAATATTTAACAAACAGTTTACATACATCCAATTAGGTCAGTCTTCAGACATGACAGTGAATGTAGCTTTTAAAACAGCAACTGGCTGAAGGGCTTCCATCAGAGATATATGCTTTTTATTGGTGTGATTGGTTGGTTCATTGATTAACTGATTGATTGGTAGGTTTATCGATTGTTCATTTGGTTGGTTGGAACGTTTCAGGTGACAATTCAACCTCTTTCAGCTAGTTTAACATCAAGATTATTATGTTCCACATTCTGAATTTGGGATTTAAAAAGTAGAATTTATCTTCCAATGCCTTCCCTCAAAGCTATAACATATTTCTTCAAGCCTTTCCTGAGGTGAATAAACAGCCACCTCACCAGTGTCTAGTTCTTTCTTGATTGACATCTCTATCTCTGTGTTTTTCAGATCGCTTTCCTGGTCTCAGCTTACAGAGGACGCCAGCTGTCAGAAGAAAGCTGTTCTGCTCTTGGCTTGTTCACCCACTATTTCCACCTCAGCCAGTTCAGCTGGATGCTCATTCAAGTAAGTGTCTATGATCCCCTGAAACAATATCGTTTACACCAATTACCTAATTGATTAATTTTAACTGCGTTCATAAATCTTAGCGATGCAATCACTACAAGGTACGGTTTCAAGCAGTCGGTCAATCACATTTTGATTCATAATTCACTCTACCATGGGCACCACCACTTGTAAGGGCTTTAAAAGGAATTAGAGATGCACTAGATAAGAAATCAAATCTGAGGAGTACAGAAAGCGCGGCTTGCTTGTCGCGTTTCAGAACTAAAACCTCTTAAAGAACAGATTATAGACTCATTCAGAAGGAGGCGCTTACTGTTTAACAAGAAGGGAAATAACATAGGCGAGGTATAAAAAAAACAGAAACACTAAACACTGGAACAATTAACTTATTTAAATCAAATAACATCATAGATGTAAGAATGATATCTGGGAACACATTTATCTTCAGGTAGAGGGATTTATCCACGGTATGTGTAGCTTTTCAAGTGGCTTAGAGTAAAGTAACCAGACACTAGATGAAGGAAGGTCCACTGTGTGTAACTGCCTTTCCTTGCCTACCTTCTAGTTTCAAACAGTCACGTCCGGAAGCAGCAGGGCCACACAAGTCACTGAGGGCCGAATTATCATTATACTGCAAGCTCCTACCTCCTACGTGTGCTTCAGCCTCGCACTGTGTGGAGCAGAAACAAAAGCAGTCTGGTTAAAATGGGAAGCTTGGTAGTGTGCATTACAGGATAAAGATAAACTGTATTGCTCCCTAGGGGAACATTTTTATGGACACGTGTCTCTTCTGCACTTTTGAGTGAATCGCAAAACATTATATATCACATCTGTTGCACATGCATAACTCATTACAAAAAAAGTCACGACATATTGCCCATGCACTGTTACGGCATAGACAGTTTATATTGACCCAATTTCATTTACCCTGGCCATTACAAATTAACAAGAAATTAATATTTGTGTCTATTTGATTTCTTTTTGGGGACCTTAAAACATTTTTGCAGAGGGAGAAAGCTGATATTCAAGAATTAATAATAAGAAAAGGATAAGATATAATTGTTTCCACCTGTCTAATCATGGATTGTTGAAAGATTGTCTGCAAGGAGGAGTGCTGCTTCGCTCCCATACAGTACATCAGGTGTTTTTTACCTTTTCATAACAATGTTGATATTAATTTCTAGTTTAAAACTTTAACAATTAATTGGTTCGTTGACCCCTTTACTCAAAGTGACTACAGAAACAACATAATGCATTGTGCACAGAAGGACAAGAGTATAAATCACAGAAAGCAGGCTACATTGTGTAACTGCACTGTAACCCTTTATTCAATGCAAGAAGCAATGAAGAAACACAAACACAAAGTGCCTCAGAAATCTACAGTGCAATGTGTGTGTGTAGTGTGCAATGGGATGGTTCAAAGTCAGGTCAAGACTTTGTGAGATCTAGGGGGATTGAACAAGGTGATGGCAGCAATGTGAGAATCGTCGCAGTCCTGTTGTTTTGAGTTTAGTTAGGTTTCTTTATAGCCAAGACAAATTACATAACTGAAAAAATGAGAGAGAGATATACTGTATACTGTATATCAGTTCCTTCTTGTTTTTGTAATATCAATTGATCATTATCTTTTCCTTTTTATAAAAGGAAGTGTTTGAAAGGTATTGTTGTTGATCCTTAATTCCCAGGCAGTAGGATTATTTTAAAAAATAAGCGTTGTCATGTCGTAAAGATTGCTATCGCCCCATAATATTATATCCAAAAGGATTACAAGTGTACGGTAAATTTGTAACACTTTCTTGATACTTTGGAATTGTAATTATATACAGTACATCTCACAGGGAGGGATCAGAAATGAATGTTTTGTGGTTTTTTCCTACAAGTGTAGTGACTTTTGGAACACAAGACAGCTTTAACAATGGGGTGACATATGTAGCCCTCTGTGGCTAGAGGGGTGCTGAATTTTCTTCCTAAAAATATTTAGTCCTTAATACAAATGCAACAGAGCAGAGAGTGGAGCAGGCTGTTTTTGGTGTTGAAAGATCAGGGTCCCCAGGTCCCTGTATTTTTTCATCTTTTTTGGGGGCCTTTTGAAGGCTTTACATTTGCCATTACATCAGACCTGTGTGCGACCTGAGGGCAGTGACAAAGCTGTGTGCTACTCCTATTCCTCAACACGATGGGGATGGATGGGGTAGCGTGCAGCTTGGGTCGGACCCCTGTTCCTCAACACGATGGGGGTGGGGGACCGCGCAGCTCGGGTCGGACCCCTGCTGCCTTACAGATCCAGAGACCCTGTCTCTGCTTCTGCTCAAGAAACGCGCTGCCGAGCAGAGGGCAATGAACGACCTCTTTCTGATGTGACCCCAGAGCAACAGCCAGCGGTCCGCGTCGGAAGCACAGGAAGGTTATGACTGACGGTGGTGTGATAAAAGAGGCCAAACGTTTTCTCACATATGTCTTCTGGTATGCCGACAAAATTTCCAACAGATGTTGAAGTTTCAGTTTAAATGTTTGTATTACTTTCTGGTTTTTGTCTAGCTCTTTAAGAAAAGATGCAGACAGTAAAAAGTGATTGTATATATTGAGCAAATGTGTGAGCGGTTAGCTTTTCACGAAGTTCGTAGTAGCACAAAGGTGCACTTGGAGTCAAAGAGCTCCAAACAGAGCAATTAGAATAAATCCATGTTTCATGCCTTAATGGTAGGATTGATCAAGAAAGCCATGTGTAAGTAGAACTGAGCTTCAATAAAAGGTGTCATAAATTTATAACACATTTATTCAAACTAAATGCTCTGCGTTCGCTTTGGGGCCACGGAGCCAATAACCAGTTGGGGCCAGTTCGGCCGATTGTGTCTCTGTGTAAACAGAGTTATTCTTTGTTAATAAACCATAACCCTGGAAACACACATGGTAGCAATTGAGTAATGTTTCCATTCAGACAGGTAGAAAGACACTGTGATTCACTTTGGAAAGTATTTATCCAGAAAAAACGCGCACCAGATGTGTGATAGTAGTCTTTGGGAGACAAACCAGGTTTTTATTCACTTTTGGGCTCAATGGGCTTTTGCAGCAATACCACAGATTAGGTTTAAAAACTAATCAGCCTGCTTATTAGCAAGTTTCATCACTGGTTTGACTGACGAAGCCATTAAAACTCCCATTAAAAGTGTGATATTTGGATTGTGTGAGCTTAAAGTTTCCTGGACTTAATTCCTTAAACCATATTTGACCTGCCCAAGCTGTGATTTATAAAGAAGCCAAATAGGGCATATAACAGCTTTAGTTTCCATTGCGTATGATGTGTACAAGATGTATTTTTCCCTGGACTGACCCTTAAAATTAAATGCTTAATAATGGACAACAACAATAATGTGTCTGTCAGTTACCAGTTGATTTTTTTTTCATTAGATTAGTTTGGTCATAATGGGAATGGTTGTGCAGATTCTTTGTTCTGTACTGTTTTACTTTGCGATGTTAAAGTACACTAACACCTCTTGAGTAATCTCCTGCATGCCTCTGGGTATCATTAGAACTGTTTCTGAAGTTCCCGTTTCCCTCCAAAGAAACAGAACACGAAAACCTGCTGGAACATGCATCTTATTGGCTGTTACCCTCCCTTCACAGTTACAGCTGCTTGAAGAAATGATTGTTAATGATGCTACACTAAAATCACAGTGATGAATTTACTTAGTTCAATAAAATATCTTATTTTTACAGCTAGTCAATTTTTACTAATTGTCCCTAATGCCTTAGGGCTAATGTTCTAGTACGTTTCTTAAAGAAAACTGGACAAATTAATTATTCTAAACCTCTGCTAACCAATTATGGTTTAGTGTAACGTAAAGAATATTTTTTAGCAAAATATTTATTGGTCATAGGGGTCAGCTTATAACCTCTGTATAGAAAGCTGATACAACTTCTGTATAACTTGTTTTCTATATATATTGTATAAATATGATTAATTACAGACGATGTGCTGCATGTAAAATTGTATTCAGCAGGTTTTGTGTCCTGAATTGTGAAGAACAGCAGACTAAGCTGTTTTCTGGCAATAAAACTTAATTTTAATTTGAATTTAAATCTTAGATTGCTTCAGATACTTTGAAAACAGTCATGTCATACCTAAGGAAAACATTAAAGAAGCGCACAGAAGTGGAATGCATGAAACACAGCCTTCTTCACTTAGAGGAAGTGTCAAATACAGATGTTTTTTTCCATGATAAAGGGAGATAACATCTGTGATCAACCACAAACGTAAACACCTGATTTAATTTTGTGTTTCAAGGCACTTTGAAATAAATACACAGCATATGTCACATCTGCACTGCTCCAATACTGTAATTATCACAGTTGTACCAATAAAGTGCAAAAAAAAACCCTTCTTGAAGTATTTTGGGATTTCTGCTAGTTACCCAGTGCATTTTTTTTGTGTTTGCCAAGGCAGTGAATTTCTGGCAGGTGTTGGTGATGAACGACGAGCACACGGAGCGCCGCTACCTGCTGTACTTCCTGCTGAGCTGGGGGCTCCCCGCCCTCGTCATCGCACTGCTGGTCATCATCCTCCTGGGGGCCTACAACTGGAACATCCACAGCGTCTATGGCCTCGTGCACGGGGACGTGTGAGTACGCCGAGCAGGGCTGACTGGCACGGGGAGGGCCTTCAGCCCTTCCCGCCCTCGTGCCAGACGCAAGGCAGGATCCCTGCCAGCCACTGTCTTGAAAGAAGCCAGGATAGCTGCTGGGTGGCTCGTTCAGGCTCCCATAACCCTTTGCACAGCAGAAGCGCCTCCCGTTCCCAGTTTCAACTGCAGTTCCGTGTAGTTCCCCCTTGTGTCCTCTTGTGTCCACTTGTGTCCTCTTGTTCGTGTTTCTCTGCTCTGCCTACAGGCGGTCACTGCTTTCCCTCGTTGGACATCAGGGCGCTTGCACTTCTCTCCTGTTAGGGCGGGTCATGCCACTCAAGAGTGCATGGCCATTAGGGCCAATAACACAAGCACAAAACACGTGCAGTGGAAAAGCTCCAACTGCCTCAAGATGGACCTAAGATTCTGACCGCACCCCATCTGGTTTTGACGAGGGTTTACGTATATGTCTCTATGTCGTATTCTGTAAATGGCTCTACAGAAGATGATCACTGACCACTGACCAGCCTTCAGTCACACTTATTGGAAAAATTCCAGTTTAAGAGACGCCATGGCTAATTATTTCACACTGGTTCATATGTCAGTGCGCAGGAGCAAACATGACAAGCAGCTATGAGACAAGGAGCAAGTTTCATAGAAGGAAAAGATGGAAGGGAGTAAAAAAAGGCATCTGACGTCAGACTTAAATATAGTCGATTGTCCGTGTTCCTACTGGAGGGCAACAACTTGCTTTTCCGTTGCCTACAGAAACTTGGCAGTGTAGGACGGGCAGCACGTCAGTCTCCCTGGATATCTTGGAGCCACTGACAGTACGGAATTAATGATATCAGCCATTATGGTTTTGACTCATCCTTTCAGGTCTGTTTTTTTGTAATGCCGTTGTTGACATCAACAAATGCTTCCGTCCATTTTCTAACTGCGTACCGCCAGCAAGCAACGGGCACAAGGCGGGATACGCCCTGGGTGGGACGCCAGTGCATTGCAGGGCAGACACACAATGACACAGAGACACACTCACACCAGGGCCAGGTTTCCCAGAAGCCAGTTAACCTAGCAGCTTGTCTCTAGAGTGCGGGAGAAAACTGAAGCACCTGGAGGAAACCCACGTGAACAGGGGGCGAACATACATACTTACATACATACATGCACCCCAATAACTGAACTTAAGGCTCCACTACTGTGAGGCAGCCATGCTAACCACTGCGCCGACGTGCCGTCCTGGCATTAACCCAGCGCACCACAGTGAAGCTCATCGAGATGCGGATGACAGCAGCAGTGCTACTATGTCTTGTCTGAAGCTCAGAAGCTCACCAGGGCTGGGCCTGGTCAGTTATGGAATAGGAGACCTCTAAAGAAGTAGGCAGGTAAATGGCACTCCTCCCTCTGGGCCAGACTTTCCAATCCAACGTCCCAATTTGGTAACCAGGGACCCTGCCCTGCAGGGGTAACTGGCTTCTCGGTAAGGCATTCATAATCAAGGTCCTAAGCAGCTGGTCATCACAATCCTCCCAGCATTATATTTAAGACACTGGACTGGAATAGACACTGGAAACCCCAGTGTCCTGGCTAAATCCTCCGGGATTGTACAATACTGTACAGTCTGGCCTCCCCAGAGCTCCACCTTAACCCGACCGATGAAGCAGTTGCTCTCAAAATATTTAGAAAAATGGGACATCCGCAACATTCTGTCTGTCAATCTAGTGGAAAAGGTTTTTGAGTAAAGATGAAATGTTTAGCTAAAGAAAAAAATTAAATAGATTCAATTAAAGTGAAAGAAAAACTTTAAAATTGTCAGTTTGAAATAGTGTTTATGTGCAAAATTTCATTTACAGCCATTAAAGTGTAAATGTAAGAGGAGCCATTACTTTTTCCACTCACAATAAACGCCTGGAGCAAGTTATTTTTATCTTCCAGTTTTAAAGCAGCTCAGTGGTTATGAGGTAATATGTTCTTTCCAAGTACACAGTACATGCTGTTTATGCTGGAAGTCTTGTAGCGTACAGTTGAAAAAAAAGACTTCCTACAGGTCCTGACGTAATTAAAAAGTCCTAAATTAGTCTTAATTTCTGTAGTTTATTTCATATACTGTACGATAGTATTTTGGCAGTTGTGTGGTTTCATGTTAAGTGGGCCTCATGTTCTAATTTTTTTTTATCTATCCAGTATCCATTAATACCATCATAAGAATATTGAAACATTATTAAATTATTAATTACTAAAAAGATGATCAAGATCAATAAAATAATAAATATAAAAGTAATAGGTATGTAACCAAATACTCAATTTTCATGTCTTCATCACACTTTGTAAAGACCCATGAGTACTAGACATTTCACACTGATTATGTTCTTGCCTAGACTTTGGACTACAGTTTTTTTTTTAATTGAAATGCTCAGAAAACTCATGTTATGGTATATGGTATAGGTATTCAAGAATTAAAACCACCAAATTCCAAACATTCCTAAAGTATACACGCAGCTGCGTATTAACATTGCAGTTATTCAGAAGTGCGTGATTTTACTCGTTTTGTCTACTTGGAAAAGACAAAAAAGAAATGGTTTAAGGGCACATACAGTAGTATTACAACAGACAACACTACACTGGAATAGAGGGTGATTTATTTGCTAATAGTGGTTGTATAGAGTGTAAACACTGAGGATGTCTTTTCACTTGTTGAAGACACTAATGACCTGACGGACCTCTTTATTGACTCTGGCATTTGTTAGCGTTTTGAACTCGGCAGTGATTCCGCCTGTGAAGAAGCTGGGCTTGACTGAGCCCTGTGGCTCTGCTGTGTTTTTTATTACACATCGGCCAAGCTAAATTGTATGTCAGCAACCACTGATTATTATTTTTGTCCCGACAGCTCACATACATTCTGTAAGATTACCGATTACAAGAACTCTGGCCTTTTAGTCTCTTTTGGCTTACAACGTGCACAGTGCACCAAGAGGGAGGTGAAAATACAACATAAACCATATGTTCAGAGCAAAGGATTTTTTTATTTATCTAATCAATCAACCTCAGAAACAATTATACTTATATAATAATAAGAGGACGTTTTCCTGAACAAATAGATAATACTTTATTAATCCCATAGGGAAACTGATGAAATGTGAGATTCTGCAGCTTTCTTTAAAAAAAAAATCAAAGAGAACAGAGAGAATAAGAAAAAAAGGGATTCAAAACAAAGTAGAAATAATTTAAGATCTTCAGAAAAAGACACAGGAAATTTGTATACAGTATGTTCCAAATATGCAAGCATGAAATCCTTTCACTTGAAAACTGCAGGTTACACTAAAGGTTTTTTAAAGACCTGGAGATGTTGATGATCCAAAAGGACCTCAAAAACATGCAGTATTCTGGCTTTCCAGGACTATAAACAGACCAGATATATTGTAAACGTCTCATTAGTAAATGGCATGTGTTATACGTTATTCAGCTGCTCTCTGAAAACTTATGAAAAGGCACCTGGCAGAAGGGCACAGTAAAAGCCGTGGAACTTGAGTTAGCAGGGAGCTGCGGGGTGTGAGACCTGTGGTTTGAGCGTAGAGCCTGTAACAGGTGCTGAGCTCACTGGTCAAGCCCATCCGGAGAGCTGTCTGCAAACGAGGCCTCCCTCTCCCTCCCCGTGAGCTCACACTTCTGGGCCCACAGTGCCGGCCCCTCCCTTCTACACTTGGACGGCTCTATTTCTGCCTCCTTACATCACAGGACTGGTCTGCCTGCACAGCCAGGTGCTCTTCATTTCCCCCTGCTCTGCTTATTTTTGCCTACGTTCAGTTGCTGAAGTTGGCGAGCTTTCTCTCAGAGCTGCTGTTCAAAGCTAAATTCAAACATTTCCTTGGTTGCAGTGGATAGCCATAACGCCTTTCTGTGCCTTGTTATGCACTTCACTTTCCACAGAGTATTGCAACAGTATAGTGTCCCATGACACTATACTGGGGCATTAGAACCCACACAGACCATAGGGTGAGCACCCCCTACTGGCCCCACTAACACCTCTACTAGCAACAACCTTAGTTTTTCCCAGGAGGTCTCTTATCCAGGTACTGACCAGGCTCACACCTGCTGAGCTTCAGTGGGCTGCCAGCTGTGAGCTGCAGGGAGATATGCCTGCTGGCTGAATGAGGGGTACAGTATGGTGGTAAGGCAGCAATGCCATCACTGGGGCCCAGGCCTCAGGTTCTGGACCTGGGGAGCAAACTGTGTGGAGTTTGCTAGTTCTCCCTGTGTTCAAATGCGTTTCCTCCCACAGTACAAAGCCATACTGGTATGTGAATTGGCTTCTAGGAAAACTGGCCCTGTTGTGAGTGTGTGTGCGGGTCTGTGTCTGTGTGTGCCCTGCAGGGACAGGCGTCCCGTCCAGGGTGTACCCTGCCTGGCACCTGTTGCTTGCTGGGACAGACTCCAGTTCCCCCACGACCCTAACTTGGATCGGTTACGAAATGGATGAATGGACATACGAAGCTAATACTGTATATGAGAATAAGGAAATACAGAAATGCAATAGAAATGCAAGATCATCAGCGATAGTACAGTATCTTTATATTGGGACATAAATAGTATGTTGCATAGACATAATTATTATTAGAGCCTCATACAACATGCAGAGCATTTACATGCTTATGTCCCCATTTTTACTTACAGTTTAAAAAAGAAAACTTCATTATTTCTGTAAATAATCTGCACTCTTTGGTACTCAATTCATATATGCAAGCATACAACAAGGCAACTAGATTGGGCATGTTGAACATTTTCTGTCGTTCTAATTTGGAAGGATCCTTTATGTTGTGCTGTTTGGACAAGTGCTTGGGGTGGATAAGAGTTTTTTGATTTGGCTGTAAGTCCTTGCTCAATCAAGTGCTCACAAAACCTGTGTCAAACTTGTGCCATGGTTCATTAAATCAAATTAGATCTGCAAAACAGACATGCTGTGTAAAATTACCGTATGTGAGGGATTATGGGAGTCCTGGACAAGCTGCCCAGTCTGTTTGCTGAAGCTGATCCCTGGCTTCCTTCAGTAAATTCCTGGATGAAATCCTTCGATCAGTATCACCTGAAAAAAACAAGCAAACAAACTAAGTGTTCCGAACAACCTCTTCTCATTTATTACCATTCTTATATTCTTATATAGGTGGGTTTTATGCCATTTGCAGTAGGAAACTGTTCTGGTTATTTTTCTTTTTTTCTAGACTGATGTGGAGGGAGTTACCCTGTGAATCACGATTTGTCTTGATTATTTAGATATCCTATCACGCAGCACCAGAATATCCGAACGGGTTTTAATGAAGTTCCCATAGCCAAATATGAGAATTTACTGTCCTTAGCCACAGAGCCAGAGAATAACAGGAACATCCTGTTGACGAAAATGAATTCCTTAGATAAAGCCCAGCCATTTACCGTGAGTTTCAGTGCCTCAGAAGCAAAGGCAGTGCCTGAGAATTCTTGTCTTACAAAAAAAAAAAGATTTTGTCACTATTGCACACAATACTACAGGCATCCCTTGCATTGCTTCCAGTTCTATTCCATTTTTTTCCTTTCCAAGCTGACTGCATGAGATTCTTAAATAATGAAACTGACGTTCTCAGATCGATAAGTTACCTGCGCTCCTCCCAGTGCTCACCACCTGCACTGACACTCACGCTGGGCTCATCAATTCTGAAACGAGCCAACGCACAAAGGTTTTGCACTGGTTTCCCCCAAATCGTTTGGAGACCGGGTGCAAAATAACAGACATCACGAACAGGCAAGAACAGGCAAGTCTTGAACAGGCAAGATGGGCCGCCTGACTTTTATCAGACTTTTCCAACATTTTTGTGTTGATATTCTAAAAGGGGTGTGTGTTCCTCTGCAAGGACACATCATTTCTCCAGGGATGTATCCCATTCAGGGCTGCTTCATGTAGACCAATCTCGAATACTAAACTGGTTTAAGCAGCAATTACCACTGCCCATATATAAAAAAACAACAACTTAGGTTTGTACTAGATGATTAATTTAAATTACTATAGTGCAGCAAATGCCCATACATGAACAAACAGGAAAGAAATGGAGCAAACAGGAAAAGGTAAATACACAGTAAGGATAGATTGTTTATTTGTCCATGTTGACATTGATACTATTTCACTAGTATCAACATTATTTCTTCCTTCTAAAAAAAAAACTGTAATGAGCTCATGGAAACTTGTGAACTGTTACCCTTAACATGTGTCAGTGCCAATGTGGTCGGCATTGTTACCCTGTGTAAACAGAATAACCGTATGTAGACTGCAGAGGTTTTCTCTCTGCATAAGAGTGTTAGAAAGATTACAAATCACCCACCCAGCTCCTTTGGAAGTATTCTTTGTCAACTACTGTCCACACATGGATGCACTTAATCGGATTGTTTTCATGACAACACATACAGTAGTAAACTGTGTCTAAATAACCGCCATTCTGTCCAGAGTTGTAGTCAGATGTATACTAGATGTAAATGCATGTGCTGGTTAAATACTGCATATGCTGCTCAACGAATTAGACATTTTAATGTTGTAACATACAGTAACTGGGGTTAGTATTCTAGCTAAAATCAAAATAGTATCCCCCAGCTAAATACATCTCACATCGAGTGCCAAATGATTGGGATTTCAGATGAACAGACAAATTCTAAGGGACAGCTCACAGTGACAGATTAGGCTTGTGTGACTCTGACAACAAGAGTGCTTTGGATTATTTGAAGTCAGTTCAGGTGGGGAGGCCGCCAAGGAACCAGTAAAGGTTTGTCCCCTGCTGAAAGGAGAAGAAGGGAAACGCAGTGTCTCGGTGGTGGGGATCGTGCCGGTGAGGCCCTCTCATTCCCCGCTCTGTGCCGTTGCTCTCGCAGGTGTTTCATACCCAACGTGTACGCTGCCCTGTGCACTGCGGCCCTGGTGCCCTTGGCCTGCCTCGTGGGAGTCTTCGTGGTGGTCGTCCACGCCTACCAGGTCACCCAGCAGTGGAAGGCCTACGACGACGTCTTCAGAGGGAGAGCGAACAGCACAGGTATCTTTCCACCTTAAGGGCCAAGCCCAGAACCTCCTTCATTGAGGACTACTGTCTTTTTTAATACCGACATCCTCCTTTATTTGACACATCAGCTTCAGCACATGCTACAGTAAGCACAGCCTAGTTTAACACAGACAAGTATGCCGTACTCCATCAGTTTTATTAAAGGATAAGCTGATTCATGCTGTTCCAACTCAAGACTTGCATTTCTTGAATACGGCTCCTACTTCTTTAGATTTTTCGAAAGGAAACTATTTTTGAGCTACTTCAATTTAAACAGCTGAAGTCTGAAGTGAGTTCAAGTCTGAAGTGAGTTCACGGCACGACTGACAAGCTTTCACACAATGGTAGACAGGACTGTGGTACAGCAGAAACCCAATGACTCTCGCCTCTCTGAGAGCTGATCGTGTGTGTTGTACCCATGTAATTCCTCAGAATGGGCTGATCTGAGTGATATATAATTACTGAAACACGTTTATGTTCGAAATGAGCAGTAGACACCCTTGCGTGTGAGAGCATGTGGGGGCACAACCAGTGGCAGTCAGAATTGAGTGTCAGGTGCCAAATTCAGGATTTTAATTGTTGCTCAAGTGAACTGAAACATTTTTGACGTAATATTTTCTTTGTCCGTGCCTTTTGGTAGATGTGCTGTTAACATATTTTTCTGCAGTTACAATGTTTGAAGCTCTGTGATAAGGCACTTTCTGATCATATTTCAGTAAAGCCTGTCTTTTTTAAACCAGACATTGGTCCATTTCCATCTGTATTTATAGTAACAGAGGTCAGCGTTACCGTGGTTTTGTACTGCATCAGGAAAACACTTCTATAACTCAGACCACAGTTAAATACCACGCTGATGGCCGTGGGTTTGTTTAATAACAGGGCTAAAAGTGCAAGAGTTAGAATGGCAAAACGTTCTGTTTTCCTGTTCGATTCCGTCACTTGGCATTTTGCATTGGACATGCCGGATGCCCCTGCTGCGATGGCGCCGGTTGCTAGTGTGTCTCCGCAAGGTGAGACAGCAGAGGGAACCAGGGAAACAGCGCACACTCGGGGAGGCCGAGCGGGCAGTGGCGTGGGGCTGCAGCAGGCTGGGGGAAACAGACAGGGTGCGGCGCAGGCAAACACAGTCCGGAGTTCGTGGTCAGAAACTAGCTGGGCTCCAAGCCAGGAAAACACTGTGAGGGATGCCCGGGAGACAAGTTCAGGAACATCCGAGGCAGGGAGCTAGAGACCGCAGGAGCATGCAAGGAGACTCCCAGCGGACACTGTCATTAAATCTCCTGCACCACCTGATACGGGGCAGGCATGGAAATCGCTCCCAGGTCATGAAGATTTCCTGGGAAGAGTGCGTTTCCCTGGTAACTGGCACCGAGTGATGGGTGACTGGCCGGATACCATGGCCAACAGCTTTGCCAGGGGGCCACCCCTGACAGAAGAAGGTTATAAAAGTGAATAGTAAACATATGAATATATCCGAATTCCAGGCCTTGGTAGCTATCTCTTCTTGTCTGTTCACGTTGTTTTGTGCTTTCGAAATCAGTCTCAGTTGTGGTTGACACCGTCTCAGAGATTGACAAATCCATAGATATGCTGTTTGCACTCTTAACCTGATCTGTGACACCACTTTTATTTTGAATACTGTAAATTCATAGCATATTCTTCAACAAACTGTTTTCCTTTTTAAATTACATTTCTGACATTTGTGGAGTAAGCGTTTCGTGTTATGAATGGCTAATTGTGTCATTGTGTCATAATATGGAAGAAATGCAACTTCCAATATTTTGTTCTGAGGATTCATTCCTCAACCTTATGGGACAGACTGAGAAAGGCAAAGCTTTCTACAGAACCTATCCATTCAGTATCTAAGGAGTACATGAGTAATATTGGTCATTATGTTGTAATTATAATTATATGCTGGTTATGATGTATAACAAAGGCATTCACAGTCATATCAGAAAGTTTAAAAATGTAAATCTGCATAACCTCTGAAACCATTGGAAAGTTCACCACAAATGTAAATCACATACCAGAAGAGGCAATATGAGGTACTTTGAAAAATGAGAACAGGAAACACTTCTTTACAGTTTACAGTTCTTGAGGGTTCTGGCAGTGTGGAACAAGCAATTGAGCTATATGTTATATGTTATGTTATAAGAATAACCTTTATTTTATATAGCACCTTCCCAAAATGCTTTACAGTACAGGTGTAAGAAAGTAAGAATGTTTTGCAGTGCTGTGCAAAATTCAAGCAGTGGCAGTATTTGAGTTCAGTGTGAAAACAAGGGGGTTTAAGTGGGGTGGGTGGATTTAAGAGGTGGAGTTGAGGAGTTTTATGGCTGTGGGGTAGAAGCCTTCTTTGAACCTAAAGGTCCAGGCTTTTGTATTCCTAAATCCCCCGCCAGAAGGAAGAGAGAGAAAAGTGCAATTTCAGGGTGGTTTTGATCCTTGGTTATAATACTTGCTGTCCTGAGGCAGCGCGTGGTAAACATGGTGTTAACGGAAGGGAGTTCTGTACCAGTGATGGCCTCAGTTCTGTCCGCCACCTTCTGTAGTATTTTCAGGCATGAGCTGAGCAATTGCCACACCAGACTGTGCTGTACCCAGTGAGAATACTTTCTGTAGCGCTTTTGTAGAAATTTGAGAGTGTCTGTGAAGACATACCAAATCTCCTGAGGAAGTAGAGGCGCTGGTGTGCTCTCGAGATTACTTCGTCTATGTGATGGGAGCAGGTCAGACTGTTGGTGATGTTTAAAAGAGCCCAGGAACTTCTCCACAGCAGCCCCACTGGTGTAGACAGTGGCATTTGATCCATACGGTATGTGGAAAAAACGTCCGACTGGATGGCAGGATCAGGTGAGTTTGGAGCGAGCCCTGTCTCTCTGAAACAAAGTACTCAGTGGTCCCTCACTTCCAGTTGATCAGTCAGCCTTGCTCTGAGTTTGTTTAGTTAATTTTCCAGAGACCGGACGTTCGCCAGACGAGCGCTGGGAAGTGAAAGTCGAAAGCCTCTGTGTTTGAGTTTTACCTGGAGGCCTCCGTGTCTGCCTTGCTTCCACGTCGTTCGGTTTGTGTTTGGTGCTTTTGCCTTGAAGTGTCAGGGGTATCGGGTGGGCAGGAGACCAAGGAAGGTAGTCCAGATAGATGTTCTAGGGCCAAAATACTCAAACTTGCATCCAAAACTCCTCATCTAATGTTTAAAAGAGCATGTTGGCCATACAAGATTTACAAATAGTTTGTACATATGAAGTTAACAATAATAACACATAACACGACATAGAGCTATGGTAAAGAGCCAAATAGAGTACTATCTTTGAGAAGCTGCACGCAAGATTTCACCTCTGTCCATCACCGTTTTGTGGAATGAAAGAAGAAGAGGATGAGTCTTGATTTGAAAGTTTTTGGAGATGGTAACTCTGTGAAATCCAGAGGGATAGGATTCCAAAGCTGTGGGGTGCAGCAGGAGAAAGCCCTGTTACCTATAGAGTGTAGACAGGCTTGGGGGACAGACAAGAGACCAGAGTTAGAAGAGAGAGGGATGCAAGGTGGGGAGTAGGACTATAATAAGTCAGACGGGAACCGGGGTGCCTTGTTGTCATGTTGAGCCTTATAGCTGAGTATGAGGATTTTGAAGTTGACATGAAACCTGATAGTGTAAGGACTTCAGGATAATGCCACTCCACTAATCACACCACAGATATCTTGGATTTTTCAAAGAAATGGCTAGATAAGATCTTTGGATCAAGTGACTGCTAACTACAAAACAGGCTAGATGGTCTCCTCTTGTTTGAATCCATTCTTGTGTCCTTAAAGTATTGTTTTCATGACACATACTGCTAAAACTAAAGTGTGGAATTAACATATATAAAACCTCAAACACTCTTCTGATTGGACTAACCTGACAGCTGTCCTGAAAGAGTTAAACAGTAAGCATAATGACATAACTTCTGCACTGAAGTTCCCATATCAGCAGATTTCCCAAAGGGATTATCCCTTAATAAAGATAGCTGACTACAACAGAAAGACAAATGCTCCCTTATTTGATAACCATATTACCAGCAAGTCAATCAAGAAAGCTCTTGCACATAGTTGCTCATTAAGCAAACATTTGGACCTTTTTCTTCATTGAACTTCTGAACTTAAAGACATTAAGAAGGAAATAAAAACAAAGATGAGGCCACTTAGTTCCTTTAGCTGTTGCTACTATCTGATTGATCTGATAATCATATCCAGCTGTTTCTTGAAAGAAGCGGTGATATCAGCTTGAACCATATGGCTGGGAAGATTGTATCGTAATCCAGATGTTTAAAACCCTTCTCTTCTCACTTCTGAAAGCACTTGCCCATTGTTTTCACTTTGTTCTCTGCATCCTGTTTCACTGTTCATTCCGAAAGCACTGGGTTGACTTTGTATGAGCTCCTCTTGAGTCTACTTTGTTCAAGGCAAAAAAGCTTCAGTTCCTTCAGCCTGTCAGAGTGGGACATTCGTTTAAGACTGGAAATGTATCTGGTTATCCTTCTCTGGACTGATTCACCTACTGGATCAAAGGCACGCTGTCACTAAATACTGGTTTTTATATGGATCCGTTTTTTTTATCAATCGGTACAACAAAGTGCAATTTACGGGTACCTAAGTATCCTCCTATCCTTATCAATTAGATTTCTGGTTGTAGTTTAACCTAAGAGCAAAACATGTTGTGTCTGAAGATTGACCGTGGAACCATCATCAAGTGGGAAAAGTCTAAGGCACAGCACAGCAGCCCAGTTTGGTGTTATGGAAAAAAATGTTTTCCTTTGAAATCTCTGGTTGCGGCTGTTTATCAGGTAGCTAAGGGGACACTCACTGTTCAAACTGGAACAGTTTGTGCTGAGCATAGTAAGCTGTACATTCACGTGAATCAGCTTTGAAGTACAGTTTTAACTGGGTCAAAATGCCTGAGTCATCACTTTAATTAAAAGGTGATATGCAGCCCAGATATTGTTTATTTATATACTTCC